TTTTTTTTAAATTTTGAAAGATCCATAACAAGTCAAAGGTACCACTAGATTTTTGGTTCAATTTTCATCAATACTCGGCTCAGAAGAAGTTATGAAGTGTCCATCAGACGTAGATCAGCAAGAAGTCATATTCACAAGCTACTGTTCAACGTTTCACTATGAAAGCAAAGGAATTTGAGTTTCTGCCATCATCGTTTTAGTATGTTTGCGTGCATCGCTGCTATGTATGTGATTTAGAGTACTGAATGCAAAGTATATTTAAAGAAGCTTTGTGTATTGGTGGTTTGTGACTGACTACAGCAAAATGTAAGAAGTTTGGATACAATTGCAGAAAACTTAGATTTTCCAACTATTAAATTCATTTTGAGTGCTTTAGACTGCACAAACTCACTGGATGTAACTAGTCAACTGCTTGATAAGGATGAATTGATAAGCAGCAGATTACGTAATTATGAGATGGCTATTTATGTCTCCTTCGTCGGCTGCTACTTTGACGTGAAGTGGACGGTCAAAATGATAAATATTATATGCAGTATTTTCTTCTTTCCTTATCTTAATTTAAAATGTATTGTGTGCGTTTTCTCTTCATTGGCGTCGAGTACCACGCATCTGCTTCTGATAACGAACGAATCGAATCTCATTGTTTCATTTAAGCGAGTTACTGTTTTAATATCTATTTGCTGCTCTCTGCTTTGCACTGATAAGTCAAAATAGCATTTTCTGATGAAAAGGCTTGGTAGACTTTTGGTCCACATGAATTTTGTCAAATTTAGAACGAACGTCAAAAGTGAAGACTGAAGCGATTAGAATAAAGAAAATAGCACTTTGTTGCCATCTCAATGATCCAACGTAAGAAACTGAGCATAATTCATATTGCAAGCAAGCAAATGATTACACCGAATAGCATCTCTCCGCAAATGTCCGCAAATACTTTTAATAATTTATTATGAGGGGAAAACTGAAATTACAGTAATTAAAATTTCTTACTATGAAAAAATAAATGAAAAAATGCAATAAAAAACAAAACATTCCTTGCAGACACCTCAATGCTTGGCTGTGTGAATGATAGTTTTGAAAAGATTACTTCTCTCTGATGAAAGTTTCGGGAGAGTACTGTCTCTTTACCAAAGTTATGTGGCGGTGGAAGAGAAATTAAGCAACTTGCCTCAAGGTGTCTTATTGTTTTTGCTTAAATTTGTATTCAGGAATGTCCCTATACGTACAAATTTTACTGCTAGACCACAAGTTATGATTTTTCAGTTTCTGATTTTTGTCAAGATTGAAACTAGAACATAATAACTTTTTGCTTCAGTGGCATCCTTATTTCTCTATTCTTCATTTTTCCTTCAAGTTCTAGGAGCAGTCATGAATTTTGTAGTTGCAAACTTCAGATTTCTTGATCTTTAGTGAAGTGGTTCCCAATGTGATATCAGTCATTTGCATGAATATTCATTATCAGTTGTTCTTAGTAACAAAGATGCTTACTGATGAGAAGTATTATTTACGGTTTGCAAAGAAAATTTTATATACGATTTGCAGAGAATTTGTCGTACGATGGTAGTTCTTGTTGATATAATAACGCATTTTTTCGTATTTATTTACAATGACCATTTTTGCTCAATAATGGGAGCAGCTCCAAAACTTTTATTTGATAAGATTATCAGGTATTTTTATCAGTGTAATTAAAAAAATATTACTCAAATGAGCCACTTTATTAGCTTTGCATTTATCATTGATAATATTTTTTGAATTTTATCACAAGCTGACTTCGTTGAGATTACTTTCATAGCATTACATCAAATTGAATTCAACCAAACTGCTAAATAATTACTACAGTTTAGATTACAATAGAGACTGTGTATGTTTCAGTACAAAGTCATTTTCCGTCGTTTGTTAGTTGTTATTCGCGACTGCGTAATAAAATTACCTTTCCAGAAGCTTATTCTATTGTAATGTTCACTGCTTTTACCGTGCTCATTTCATTGTTGAAAGTTGTTTCTTCTGTATTCCCTAATGGTACTGTATTATCTGTTTTTCCAAATGGCACTGATGCGCAGCTAAACTTTTTTGCGTGTAATTCAGGTACTGTAGCTTTTAATGCTTAATATTTCAAGTTTACGCTGTGTTTATTTTGCTGATATGTTTTTGATTCATTCCTTATACTTACTAGATGTGATAAAAATGAAAATATTACTGATGTTTGTGAAATTTTGTCAATACGCTTGATAATGCTATCAAAATTGGTAGAATTGTGATACAGTAATAGCTGAATGAAAAATTACTGTCATTTGTGTTGTTTAAAAGTAGAAACTAGATTGCAAAAGAAAAAAAACAAAGAAAATGGGAAAGTTTAATTACAAACAACTATGAATATAATTGGTGCGAAAAAAAGACAGGCATTTCATACGCAGTTGAAACTATTACTTATAGACGATCCGATTACTGTCGCATCAATTGAGTTTTATGCTCGAAATGGTGCATCAATGTATCCAATTGATTTAACAAATTTAGCAGTAATCAAATTGGAATCGTACAATAATGGAGATTTGGTATTATGCTGAATAAGTTTAAAGCGCGCAAAATAATAGTTGTCGTGAAGTTGATCTCACATACTACGTTTATTTAGATAATTGATGAAAAAATATGCAGTAAAAAAAATTATGGAGTTAAATTCAAATTTATGTCAAATTTTAATAACACTTCCATTTTTTTTTAATTGCAAAAAAATAGGGTTACTTTTTTAGGTAGAAAAAGATAACGTTGACGTTGATATATATACTTACGTAAAATATGGTAATCAATGGACGTGGAAGAATGTTATTCCCGAAGGATTCAGATTCTTGCTGTAATGTTGCACATTTCAACTGTTAGGGAAATAAAAATTAGCAAATTTGATTTAATTACTTCAGTAATTTAATCGGTCCTTTTTACAAAAGCGAACATTGAAAACTTGTGTAATGAATAATTAAGTCTGCATCAAAACTTTTATAATCATCCAAACCTCTGTTAAATCAGTGATTTTCAGAAGGAATTTAAATGGTTGTGCTATAGCTCATAACTGCCCCCTCACTAAAGGCGAACTTCAATTAGCACTTGCTCTAGATTTGAGTAAATATTCATTCCTTTTCAGATTCATTGACAAAAATGTAAGCCTTTTCAGTTTAAACATTTTTTATAATACTTGTATCATCTAGCAAAGTTTTAAAACATAAAACTGAATACTTCACTTTCGATATTTCCATGCGCATAAATATTTTTTAGATAATTTGTGTTTACAAGCACTGCTATTTCCAGCCTTTGAATAAGTAGAAGTGATTTTTCAAACCGCTGCTTTTTAAAAGTTTCAGGCTGCACATCAATTTGTAATCAAAATGCATGATGCCAAAAATGATGAACAAATTTGCTGCCAAACAGTTCAACTTAGAATCGTTTGAAAGGATTAACTAAGACAACGATCAGAAACAGAATTACTTGATTGGATCTGAAAATTATTAACAGTTGTTTGACACTGCAAATATCAGTCGTTATTTATCTGTTAACTTTGCAAACATTCTAACTTTTGGCATTTTTCTTGTTGATTTGGCAAGTTACTGCGAATAAATGAGCGCTTTCGTAATAGATCGATGAAAATCGCTGTAATAATTACTGACCGAATAAAAATTTTCGCCACAATTCAATCTGACTAATTCATATTTCACTACATTAAGTTGCTATCTGGAAAAATGCTGAAGTTTGCTGCGGCATAGAAGTGATAAGCAGTACATGTTTGGCGGTTTTATTTTGAGTGATAGGTCTCTTCACGAAATTTAAATTTTATATCATGCAAACTCAGCCGAGTATGAAAAAAGATTTCTCACCCGAAAAACTATCACATTCAATTTTGCAGTCTGCGATTTTTCTCAGCAGACGAACTCACTCTTGCAGTTTTGTATTATATTTTACTCAAATGTGCTTCTACAAATTACAAAAATTGAAGTAAGTCAACTAACTGACAATTTTCGAGAAAGGTTTGCGGGACGGAAAGTATCTATCTATCTAATGGCAGTCACTGAAGATTTCACGAAAATTTGAATCAATTATCCAAGAAGGCTGAGACTATTTGCGCGCAAAAAAGTTGCAATATTGGAGAGCACGCCTCGTTCATAACAGTGTAAAATAAGCGCTGAGATTACAAATTTTTGTATGAAAAATTTTGATACATTTTAAAAAATTTGAGCAGTCAAAAGACAGTGCATATCGTAGTTTATTGGATAGTAGCTCGATTTCTCTTGCGAAAATTTAGTGCCAAAACGATTTCATAATGATAAGTGAGGAGAAAGTCTGAAATCAAACGTAAAGACTTGTTGACGGACTTTATTTACTGCGTGAGTGATAAATAAGTAAGTCGAACAAGTGACTCGAAAAACTTCAATATTTGACAGAGGTCTTCAAAAGGAAGCTACAAGCAAACTGTTGCAACTACGAGTAAATTGTTGGGAGTGTGAGGAGCGGTCGCTGGTCAATGTTGTTTGAACCACTGTGAATGAGCAGTGCATTTTGTTTTGCTTTTATGTCTTTTCTGCACCAATCTAATTTCACCTTTGAACTTCTTAATAGCTGCGTGTTATAATTAGCATTATGCTTGACTAATACTACTATTAGCCATTTTT